AATCTTCCTGATGAGCCTCAGACATGGTGGAATACAGTCACACTGTCCCTGCTCTGCACTGTCCGAATTCCTTACCCATGGAGTCCATGAGCACAATAAATGGTTGTTTTGCACCACTAAGTTTTGAAGAAATTTGTTATGCAGTCATAGTAACTGGAACAGTACTCCTTTGTGACTCCTGGCTTTCAGCAGATGGCTCAATTGTGGCTTTCTATGTGAATATTCCTTCATTTCAGGCACCTGGGGATTTCCTTCTCTTGGTTCCTGCTCAACCACATATCCATAAATCATCTTATATTTTACTTAGTATTTGAAAACTAGTGAAGCAAAATGGGATTCTTCTATGTCAGCCCACTCTGCCACAATACCCAGAAGTTCCCGGTAAAACTTCTCAAACACAAATAACTAAAGAAGTTCGATTTTATAGAGTTAAAAATCTTAAAATAATCCATAGAGTGCATTTATTAAGGAGCAGCTAACTCGTTACAGAAAAAATACAAATAGTCATTAAAAAGTTCACTCACTTGTGCTCAAATAAAAGCAAAATAATATAAGGAGCTACTATTTTGGCCAATGAAAATGACAGGAACTTTTTTCTTTAAGTCAATAACAGACAGTATAGGATTGGGTTCAAGGAAAAAGGCACTCTCACAAAGTTTCAGTAGTAGCATGGTTTGGTTTATTTCCAGAAGACAATCTAGCAATATATATGTCCTTGTAATTTTAAATATATTTGACTCAGAAAGTTTTATTTTCAGCAATTTATTTGAAAGGAATAATCACTGATATACATAAATATTTATCTTCAAGGATGTCAAATCCTGTACTATTATAATAGAAAGGAAGCTGAAAATAATCCAAACATCAAAAAAGCAGGAGATGATAAGATCATCTTTATTTTTAGTTTTGTTTGAACCAAAATAATTATCAAATGAACATGAACAAAGAGAATTATAGATTCATTAAGAAAGATATTTATTTATTCACAATGCCAGCATTGTGCTAGGAGCCAAAATACCAACATCATTAGGATATAAAAACATGCAGTCTATTGGGGGAAATAAAGTGAACAATGACAGTTCATTATGATAAATATTAATGATGAAGCTACATTTGTATTCTGTGGTAAAACTGCACCTTTGCTGAACTAACTGAATGGGGGCAGTGGCTGGGTTTTTGTTTTGGGGTACGAGCTAAGTCCCAGAGGTTCTGACAAGTAGAAAATAATGGTGGCAAAGAAGTCTAACTAGTCTCTCAAATTCTTGCTCCTCCTCCTAAGAATAGAGTTGTTCCTAGAGGTGGAAATGTGAGCAAACACAAGGTGTTACAAATTTTTACATGGTTTTAAGAAACATAACTGCTTCATCCACACTTTATCTTTCCCCTCTGCTTACAGGATTATTTTCCAAATATATATTTTATTGCGTCTATTTAAGATATACAGTATGTTGTGTGTGTGTGTATGTGTGTGTGTGTGTGTGTGTGTATGTGTGTGTGTGTATTTAAAATAGTTACTATCCAATGACTGGATTTAGACAAGAATGAAACACTAGTGAATGGCAGAGCCTGGTCTTTTTAGCAAATGAAAGAAAACTACCAGCTGATTAGGAACACCTGTGTTGAAATTGTTACAGTGTGAATGATAATAAACTTCTATATGTTAAATCACTAACATGTTGGGACATATTTGTCACTCCAGCTAGCAGTATACTAATACCTGTGATTTTTTTATTCCCAAGTATATATTAGTTTTTACTCAAATACATTTACTACCTATGTACTATGTACAAATCAATGTGCCATATGTATGAGAAATACAAAGACAAACTAAATACAGATTCTGCCTTCATGCAATTTCCAATACAGAAGGGGAAAAAATATCCACTTATACAACTGGAAGGCAGAGTGTGTAAAATTAAAGCCTTAGAAGATAAAGTATTAGATGAGTTAAGAGGAGGGAGAGAATACTTTCTGGTGGAGGTTCAAGAAAGATGTGGAAGAAAGAAGAAAACGAGATTTCAATAGAATCCAGACAGGCCAAAATGTGGGGAGAGGCATTCTACCCAGATATAAAAGTGCAAGATATCATGGAGAATGGGATGTTTGTATTCTAGTTTGCCTGGAAAAAGGGGTTCAGATAAGGCCATTGTAAGAGTTAATGAAATAATAGATTGGGACGAATCTGAATACTGGGCAAATGATTTATATTTTCTTCTCTAAGTAATGGAAAGCCACTGGAGGTTTTGGAATAGGGGTGTGGCATATATTCACTGCTATGCATTAGGAAAATTAATCTGGCAGGAAGAGTTAGACAGCTATTAATAAGAGTCCAGAGTGTGCAAATTAGAGCAGTGTGGCAGTGAGAATGACAGACTGATAGTAGATTGGATGTGGAAAGTTTGGAAAAGAATCAAAGATGAACTGGGATGACTAAAAAAATTATAGAACCATGAATTAATTTAAAAGAGAACATGTTAGTTTCAGCCTAAAGGGCAATAAGAGTCCAGTTTTAGATAAAATTGAAGTACAAGCCATCCAGTGGAGATATATAACCTGGACCCAAGTATTAGGAATTGGGATTATAGGCTTGGTTTGGAGATAAAAATGTTACCTATTTACAGGTAACAATTAAGGCCAGAAACTACATTAAAATTAGCCTAGAAGATCCAAAAAAGAAAAAAAGACAGATTTCCTTAAAATACATGCAAAGCAGAAAGATAAAGAAAGGGCAAAGAAGTGACTGGAGAAAAACCAGCATCACTGGAGGCATCAGACCGTACCAATTACACAGAAGTTAGTGAAGTAAAGAAATTAACATCAAACACAGGATCTCATTTCCCAAACTACCCAACTGTTATGGTTGGAATACAAAGCATCCCCCAAAAGCTCCTGTGTTAAGTAGTAAGAGAAATGATTATGTTATGAGAGCTGTAACCTAATCAATCCATCCTAATTTTGAATGTGCTAGGTGCTAAAGGTATGTGGGATGGCTGGAAGAAGTTAGAGGATGTGCCCTCAGAGATTATACCATGTCACTCCTGCCAGCCCCGGCCCCCCAATAAGCTGAGCATCTTTCTGTTTCATCTTTGGCCAAGAGTGGTGGCTGACCATAGACTATGCATGGGCTGAACCTCGGAAACTGAGCCAAAATAAACTTTCTCCTCTAAGTTGTTAGGTCAGGTATTTGGTTATAGGGATGAAAAGCTAACACACCAAAAGAAACATAAATTTCAGCCAATGACTAAGCAGGAATTCAAATCCTACAAGGAACATAGGCATTGGAGTGAAACTGGATTCTAATATTGACTCTGCCCTTCAATAGCTACATAATCATTGGGTCCTGCCTCTGACCCTCATAAGGTATATAAAGAATAAATTTCAAAACACTCGCAAAGTGTTCAGCACAATGACTGACATGTAATAAACACCGAGCATAAACTGTTTTTTAAATTAATAAACATTTTTCCTTATCACGGCCTGCTGAAGAAAGTTAATTCACAATTTTTTAAAAAGATGTTTAAATTTTTTTTTAATTGTGTATTTTGATACTGGAACAAGTAAAGGGTACGCAATTGGGAAAAGATTCATTATTTTCTTTTAGATTTATACTTAAAATTTTTTTAGTTTTATAATATACATATAATTATACATAAAAAGCATTATAATTATACATAAAAACAATTTTTTGAAAGCAAGATCCAACCAAAATTGGAAATGTACATATATCTGAGCCTGCAATTCTGCTTTAAGGAATTTATTCTATAGAACTGTTCCTGGGTGTAAGAATGTTCATTGTTTCATTGTTTATAATAGGGAAAAAAAGGAACTAATCTCAAGTGGAAGAGTGGTTACATAAATTGATACATCTATAGTATGAAATACTCAGTACACCCCCTTAAGTATAAAATTCATATGGAAGGTTTCTCTGAACCTTAATTGGAAAAGCAATTTTTCAAAAGAATCCATACATAATTTCATTCATGACCAAAAAATAAAGAATGTAAGGATGAACACTAAATTAACTCTAACTGGGGTTAAAGAGAAAGTAGTAGAAAATAAAGAAGGCATTCATTCATCTCCAACTCTATATACTGTGGTGTTCCCATGAAAAGTACCAATGCACTGTAATGTAATTTCAAAACTGTAAGGAAGAATTTTAAAATGAAAATGTCAGAAGTATTTTTTAAAATAAAATTCTAATAGATTTTAACACTATTAAGTATACATATGCACACACAGTTGTATTTAAAGAGCAGAGATTTTTGTGCTTTAGGGAGTATAATGCTTTAAAATTGTTTGCAAAATTGTTTGCATTTATCCAGAGAGAGGCTCTACAGTTTCCATGATTATCTATAACCCCAAAAAGGCTAGATGAAAAGATGACAATACAAGTCTACCTGCAATGCAACTATTTTCTAGTAGCTTTAAGCCCTAGTGAAAAAAGTAGCACACAAATGATAGGTAACTCAGAACTGGTACAAGGCAAAATTGGAAATGAAAACTGGGTTATGCAATCTAATAGGGTCAGCCTCCAAAGTCCTGGCCCATCTGGTTGGGTGCCAAGTGTGGGAGAAAGGCAGATACATGGCAATCAAAGAAGGAAGTAAGCACATCCCACACTCCCTTAAGGTTTAAGTTCTGGGAGGGGTGGAGAGTGAACCTGTAAGGGTGTGTCCACTTAATGAATAGATAGTTTGCCCAGTATCAGAAGGGGAGAGGGAATGGAATTTACATATCTAGCAAGTAAGCTTTCTTCTCCTGGTTCATTCCCCATCTCCTGTCACCCGACCCTTCAGTGTATACTTGATCAGGTCCTTGTGACTATTCTTTCTGGCAGCTCCGTTTTAGAGGAACCAGCCCAGGTGTCTCTCTAGGTCGTTTTCCCTCTTCTTGGGAGGGGAATCATCCTCCCCCTCAGGCCTGACCCGGAAATGTCCCGGCCCTCCCAACCTCCAACGCCTTGGGGCTAGATGGCCAGGCGGCCAGGCATCCGCACTCACTGTCCCTGCAGCTCCTCGTATGAGAGGAAGGGCTTCTTGTGGTGCCGGGCCCGTGGTAAAAAGGGGGGTAGTTCTGCCAGCGACGACTGCAGTGGGGGTAACGGGCAGCGCGGGAGCCAGCGGCGGCCCTGTGCCGACTCGAGCTCCTGGCCCAGCCCGGCCACGTTGCTGTGCTGTCCACAGTGGTGGGACGAGGCAGTCGGCCGCGCACTCGCACGGGAGCTGCTCTCAGGACAAGCATGCTCATGCTCAGCGGCCGGCAGCCCTGCGATGCTGGGCAGCGTGGCTCAGCTCCGCCCGGCCCGGGGCAGCTGCAGCCACGCCCGTCCAATGCGCGCATTGGTTGCTAGGCGCCTGTCGCCTGGGGCTACGGGCTCCGCTCTACTGGGTTGCAGGCCAGTCCTGCAGAGGAAGGGACCTAGCCTTAAGGGACCAGGATGGTTGCCTGCGTAAGATTAAGAGGCTGCCAGGATTCCAGGGCATGCACCAGAGGTCACTGCTTGGGGTGCTGAGGTGAGCAAGTGCTGAAAAAAGGCTGGTTTTATCAGCGGTCAGTTGTGACACAACACGAGGGGAAGGTTAGGTAATGGGCAATCAGTCAGGTGTATGTAGTTTCTGGGTTGTTTGCTCATCAGCTAGCTAACTTTTCAGATTTAAAGTAATCAGGCTTTCATGGGTATTTTAACCCGTGCTCTTGATTCCTTTGAAAACTAGGGTGTCCCCTCTTTTAAGGCACAGCACACTAATTTTGCATAGTAGGATCTACAGCCTCAGCACTTTGCCAAATTGTTTTTTGACACCTCCTCTCTACTAGAGCTACAAACTGCACGAGATATGGTTTGACTCCAGGGAGACTGCTCAACACATTCATGCTTCAATTTTCCAACGCAATTAGACCTTGAACTAAGTGGCCCAACACTTAGAACCACTTACATAGAATTATGTGGATGAAAGCAGCATTGGGACTCAATGATTGTAATCAAACCTTTATTACTAAATGGTTTCTTTTCATCCCTTTTTTGGGGGGGG